TATCCACACCTCATTGCCTTACATTGATTTGCATAAGCAATTTCCACCCTGATAATTGGAGCCAAACATCTTTTTGTAGGTTACCTTATGGAAAAGAGCAGTTAAATACTAATCAAAAAAATCTTTCTTTATTCAACCATATTTTAAATGATATTGAATTACCTTCATTGGATGAGCAGGAAGGTGACTCACTGTGACGGATTTCGAAGTGAGTTTATATCATGTTTTAAAATGATCTTTCTTTATAATTTTAGTTCCCTGGTGTTGCCTCTTAACAACATAAAGAATGGTACTGCCAGGCTCAAATCAATAAAATGATATTGCTTTGTTTGAAAAGAAAAAACAGTAGTAATATGTACTAATTATTTTTTAATAGCTACTGAGTCAATGTTATCTGAGGGTGTCAAATTAAAATTATACATTTATTCTTTTATTTCTAAAAACTCAAAGAAAAATTATAAAAAATGTAACTAGGGAGATGAAAACAAGTAAAAATCAACTAAGAAAGGTCAAAGTCATGTGAAACAATTCTATCTAAAAGAATCCTTCTCTGAATGATTTACTTTAAAGATAAGTCTAGAGTACTTAGGTAAGAATGAGGATTTGAACTGTGGAAGCTTAAATTATAAAAACAAGGTAAAAGAAGTAGATCCCAATTTATTGATCATATGTACAAACATTGTACACATGGGTAAAAATTACTATGTGTACTTAAACTATAAAAAACCTAAGAACTTAAAGATGTGAAAATTTCAGAAAGATTCAGCAATTCTTGCAGTAGTAGAGGTCGAGCATGAGGTTAACTAAGAAGATACTCAGAACGCAGTGCCACTGAAATCAAATGAAGAAAGATTCCAAGGACTTCTGGATTAAAATGATGAACTGAACAAACACATCTGATCCCACGCTCTCCCAAAGCCTGACTAGAACTACACTGAATGTATGGGTGTTTTCTCTGTGATACCAAAATTTCTTGATTTTCTGACATCTAGGAGTGCTTTCCCTGACTTCTATCCTCTAACTCTCCCAACAGGGTCAAAGCCATATAGTCTCACTATGCAGATGATTAACTGAAGATTCAGGAACACTAGTTAAATTCTCCCATTAAATTGAAACAGTTGTCCCAAATTAAAGTATCAAATCCAAATTGTCTAACTAGTAAAATGCTTTAATAAGATGAAAAAAATCTAATTTTTAATTCTACTCTTGCATTTTATAACTATGAAGTCAGAGGCCAGGAAGGACTTAGTGACTAACAGAAAGCCCATCATTAATCAGGAACAAGAATAATGGTTGTCAGGGGGAAGACATGGGGGGAAGAGATGGTTAGGAAGTTTGGGATGGACATGCACACACTACTATGTTTAAAATGGATAACCAACAAGGACTTACTGTATAGCACATGGAACTCTGCTCAGCGTTATTTGGAAGCCTGGGTGGGAGGGGAGTTTGGGGGAGAAAGGATACATGTGTATGTATGGCTGAGTCCCTCCACTGTTCACCTGAAACTCTCACAACATTGTGAATCAGTTATACCCCCAATACAAAATAAAAAGTTTAAAAAAAGAATAATTTTTCTCCCTACTTATTCCATTGCCTCTTGGGTCCCAAAATATTCCAGCAATTGTTTTGGGTAATCTACTATGGAAGAACAGTAGCTAAACAGAACTTACAAAAATACAAATATTTCTGTGTTTAAAAATATGTATTATTTATAAGTGGCATACATAATCCACAAAGGTTCACACTTCATTTGCTCTATTTCACTTTCAATTTAACCATCAAAACAAAATGGAAACTGACTTATTAATGGGGCTCAGTCGTTTCAGTCATGTCCGACTCTAACGGACTGTAGCCTGCCAGGCTCACCTGTCCATAGGATTTCCCAGGCAAGAATACTGGAGTGGGTTGCCACTTCCTTGTTCAGGGGACCTTCCTGACCCAGGGATGGAGCCTGGGTTTCCTGCATTGCAGGCAGTCTCCTGCACTGTAGATGGACTCTTTATCCATAGCCGCCTGAGAAGTGCTATGCCATCTATTACAATCTAAACAGACAGAATGTGTGTTCTATTACATACTAAAAGAAGTTTGGAGGCAACTTATCTTAAAAATTATGCAAAACTGAACCATTTAAGCATCACACACAACATTCAAGAAATAAGGAAACTGGACCAAAAAATCAGGAAGATCAGACCAAGGAAAGCTGTGAATATGCAGTATGAAACCATTTACCAGACATTCAGATAGCTGATTGAATGGACTATATGGATCCTAGAAACAAAACTTTTCTCAAAAAGTCTCTGGAGTCCCTTCTACTGAGGGATGTATGTATAAGTTGAAACCTGAAATATGTTGTCCAATACAAAATATTATAAAAGTTAAGAAATATGTAGCTGAATCAATACACAGATACTTGCTAAGTTAAATATAAACATGTTAACTCAGCTACCTTTATATTATTTTTATTCTATTTATTATATAACATTACATTTGTACTTTATTAATATAATATGTTATTATGTGTTTTTATTATATTTTAAATTTATATTGTATAAATACATTGTTTTATTTATTTGTGAATGTATTTATAAAATACATTTTCCTTGCTCCCAAAAGAGCTTAAGATGGATCACAAGGACTAAAAGATTCAAGAGAAACCAAGTTTCAGAAGAAACCACCATTATAATATTGTTCAGGTGCAGAACACCAGGGCTAAGGTCCAAGTACTAAAACAAAACAAAAAATAAAAAAGAAAGAAAGAAAGGAAATATGGAGGGAGGGAAGAAGAAAGAAACAGAGGGATGGTGGGATAGGAGGAGAATATATGAAAAAAATACTATTTGCAATTTAGGATGCCTACATTTGTAAATCTAACCCTGGGTCTATGTGCAAATATAAACTTCCACTTGTCAACATAGAAATAGCCATTGTTAACATAAAAACAATTAATAGATTTTCCAGCAGAGATAAGCACTGACAGTCTAGATTAGCTCTTTCAGCAACATGTAAACCAAGATTCCCCAGAGGCTTGTGGATGGGAAATATATTAATATCAACTCTGTGGCCACTCAGCACTATGACATGAAGTGTCTGTTCAGGAGGTCATTTTCAAGCCATATCCCATGCATCTTCATGCACAAGAGACGATAATTTATCACCTAGACACAGGAATCTACTGTAAACTAATCCAAACTGCTGATGATACACTAAATCAGTTTGAGTGATGAGTATAAATAAAGCGGCAAGGAAAGTACTGAAGGATAAAGATCTATCTGATCAATGAGATGTCACAGGCAAACGAAATGCAATGTTGACAAACACAGAGTCCCTGAGTTGAGAATTAACCAAATCAAGTACCAGCGCATAACGGCACACATTAATACAGACTTCAAATGAAAGTTTAATATCATGGGAGTTGGAGGGTAGAGTCCGTTACAGACAAACCTGAACCGACCGGGTCAGCAGAAGAGGGTGTATTAAAAGTTGATCTATTTGGCACACCACAGAAAGTACCATAAGTAAAGGAAAAACATTGAAAAAAAAATCCTTCCCAGATAACATAAGTATAGTTATTCAATCTTCCAAGCAAATCTAAACACACAAATGAGAAGGAAAAAATTAAATAAAAATTGTATACAGAAAGTAATTTCACATCAACTTGCTACCAGGAAATTAAATTCAATTTGTGGAGCTCTTAGGAAAGCTTAGCTATTTTCTGGAACTGTATGGTCATGCTACAACTTCAGTGGGAAAACAAAGGAGTGGGGATAAGGAAGGACATTTCTCCAGGTAGTTGATATTCATGGAGGTCACTCACAGAGGAAAAAAAAAGATTTTCCTATAACTATGTGATCAGAATAGAGAATTTAGCACTTAGCAAACAGAGTCAACAGAACTCAGCAATTCCAAAGGTGGCCCTAATGGAAAGAGCTGATTAAAATAATTCCAACCCCAGCTGGAACAATTTGGTAAAAATATTTTCTAAGGAAAATTATTCTTCAAGGAATTTATATATATATTTTTTCTCTTGTGTTAAGTATTTAGAGCTTTGTCATAACATATTTAACTCTTGTTTTGTATTTTATTGTTTAGTTTATTTTGGGTAAAGATAGAATTAGACTACTAAAACATGACCTGATCCCATATGTAGTTTATTTAAATTTCAAAATGAAAAGCTTACTGAGAAAGATAAGATTGATTGCTCTCTCTGTCTTAGCATAATTGTATTTCAGGTGAACATCAATTTACTTTAAAGGACACTTCTAAGTAGCAGAATGCATCATAAATAATTCATCAATCACAGCTGCTAGGAACATGATTTACTCCAACAGATTCAATGGAATAAAAATTCTATTTTTCCATATTTGTGTTTGCTTTTGAGAATTTAAGAATCTTCCTTTTCTAGGAGTCTACTCCTAGATTCCATGTTTCATACTGTAAATGTATTATAATAAAACTGTTTCTTTTTTTCCTTCTTTATTTAAAGTACTGTATTTCCTAATTTTAAAAAAACACTTTAATATATTTGGAAAAAATAACAATCTCTGTATATCAACATTAAAACAGCGAACAACATAAAAGGCACATATCTGGAAAAGTGTTAAGAATTTCTCAAACAGTGCATAATTCCAAAAAGGCTAACATAATTTGCTTTCATTTTATATAAACTTTTAAATGGAAGAAAACGGAAATAGACTTTTGTGAAATCGTATATAGACTATTTAGGATCTGCTATATTTGAAAATTACTTCAATCTTAAAATGCATATTAAAGAGATTCTAAATGATGTAACCTTTCAAGTTTTGTGGGTTAGTACAGAGTCTTATCTATCATTTTCATTTTTCATATGATAAGGCACTGCTTACCTTACTTACCTTATAGTTTCCCATAAAATTCAGCAATTTTGTATAAGCAATTTCCCAAGCTGTGAAATATCTTTAAAATAAACACAAGAATAAGGAAAAATGTAAAAAAAAAAAAATAGAAAACATTTTACTTACTTGCAAACCCTTTTGAAATACTGAATGGCCCATAAAATTAGCCAGCATTCTAATTAAAGCAGCACCCTGTAAGAAAGAGTAATTTTAAAAAAGAAAAGGAAAAACTTTCAACCAAGTAACGTGATTCTAAAATTATTCTATATCAGTCAAAAATAGTCTTCATTCATGCTATTTTATTCTTAAAAATAGTTAAGAAATAAGAGAATTATGAATGCAATACTTCACTTATAGGTTACAATTGCATTTTTTGTTCAATCTAAAAGTTTTGTGGATCTAAAACTGATGATTTTGAAGTAGAAGTCTTTTGGATAAAATATCTCAGAGCAATAATAAGTTGTAATTCAGGAATACTAGAAATTTTACTGAGCACCATAGATGACAAAGTTAATAAAACAATGTTCTTGTACTCGCAGGTTCATAATCTAGTAAAGGAGGTACATCAATGTTATAAATAATCCTATTGAAATATAGCTTTGAAGTAACATAGCTACATACTCTATCTCTGGCTCAATCAAGAATCATTTAGTTATAGAAGTGAAGAGTAGGAAGTTCCAGGGAATCAGATTACTTGGATTCAAATTCTGGTTCTGGCATTACTCTCCATGTTTACTCAGCTAAACTATTTAACCCTCAGTTCCTCACTTTTCTCACTTGAAAAGTACAGGCAATAATAGTCCCAATTTATATGGTTTTCTGAAATTTAAATACATTATCGAATGTAAGGCAATTCAAACTGGGTTTAAAAATTAGTAACCATGATAGAAGTGTTAGCTAGTATTATATCAAGGTAATTATATTTATTTCCTGTGTTTTCTTCCTTTGAGAGTCTTCTATAAATCCATATACAAGTAGAACAATAATGAGGCTGATAAATATTTAGAGTAATAGAAGAAAATACTAATGTAAGAGTCTATCTCATTTTGAAAATGGTTATTACATTGTAAGGGGCTTCCCTTGTAGCTCAGTAGGTCAAGAATCTGCCTGCAGTGTAGGAGACCCGGGTTTGATCCCTGGGTCGGGAAGATCCCCTGGAGAAGGAAATAGCAACCCACTCCAGTATCCTTGCCTGGAAAATCTTATGGATAGAGTAGGCTGGTGGGCTACAGAGTCCATGGGGTCACAAAGAGTTGGACGTGACTTAGCAACTAACACTTTCATACTTTCAGAATCCTATGAAGCATAAATAGTAATGATACAAGTCTCTAAACTCAAGCAAAGATACAACATAATATAAGATGAAAGACAAAAGAAATAAAATACCTTACTGTGCTTCAGAATAGGGGGAGGTGCTTTTGAACTGTGGTGTTGGAGAAGACTCTTGAGAGTCCTTTGGACTGCAAGGAGATCCAACCAGTTCATCCTAAAGGAGATCAGTCCTGGGTGTTCATTGGAAGGACTGATGCTGAAGCTGAAACTCCAATACTTTGGCCACCTGATGCAAAAAGCTGACTCATTGGAAAAGACCCTGATGCTGGGAAAGATTGAGGCCAGGAGGAGAAGGGGACAACAGAGGATAAGATGGTTGGATGGCATCACCGACTCAACGGACATGGGTTTGGGTAAACTCCGGGAGTTGGTGATGGACAGGGAGGCCTGGCGTGCTGCACTTCATGGGGTCTCAAAGAGTCGGACATGACTGAGCGACTGAACTGAACTGGATTTTATCTGAAGAGATGAAGGGTAAAGAGGATCTAAAGGAGGGTCGCTTCTGTTGGGCTTTGAAGGACAGATAGGATTCCATGAGCAAAGGTAAACAAGTGTTCAAGGTATGGGTGGAACAACCTTTGTGTGATACCATGCAGGTGCAAAAGTGAAAAGCACAAATGGGGAAGCTAATACTGAAAGAAAAAGGGCTTACAATTAACTGACAGAGATTCAATGGAATATAAAATTGAAGCAGTTGTTAGAAAAATTGAATACCAGGACTAATACATTTGAACTTTGTTAGAGGATAGGGCAAATAGAAGGGGGAAAAGTGGAAGCAGTTATAGATTTTATTTTCTTGGGCTCTAAAATCATTGCACATGGTGACTGCAGTCATGAAATTTAAAGATGCTTGCTCCTTGGAAGAAAAGCTATGACAAACCTATAAAGATGACAACATATTAAAAAGCAGAGACTTTTGTTTTTCTGGCAAAGGTCCATCTAGTCAAAGCCATGGTTTTTCCAGTAGTCATGTACAAATATGAGAATTGGACCATAAAGAGGGCTGGGCACCAAAGAATTGATGCTTTCAAATTATGGTGCTGAGAGGATGCTTGAGAGTCCCTTGAACTGGAAGGAGATCAAACCAGTCTATTACAAAGGAAATCATTCTTGAATGTTCATTGGAACAAGTGATGTTGAAGCTGAAGCTCTAATACTTTGGCTACCTGGTGCAAAGAGCCAACTCATTGGAAAAGACCCTGATACTTGGAAAATGAAGGCAAAAGGAGAAGGGGGAGGCAAAGGATGAGATAGTTAGATAGCATCACTGACTCAGTGGGCATGGATTTGCACAAACTCTGGAAGAGAGTGGACACAGGAGCCTGGTGAGCTACAGTCCATGGGGTCACAAAGTGCTGGACATAACTTAGTGACTGGACAACAATAAAAAAGAGGATTGGGAAGGGTTTTCGGAAAGATGGTTTTAAAAGCCAAAACTCATCTAAAATACTTCACGGAGGAAGTAAAATGATCAGAAGCAAACACTGGTTTAAAAAATGGAACAAAACTCACTTTAATCTTAAAGCCTTAAATCATCTTTCAGATGATCAAGATGATATTAGCAGACATGGGACATTTAAAATAAAGTATTAGATGAATATGGTCAAATTCATTTGAAACAGGTGGCATTTTGAGGATCAGGTAGGGACACAGAGAAACGGAAGGAAAATGTGACCATAGGAATGAAATTAAGTGAAAGCTTATGATTGAGGATATAAACAAGCATTTGTAGGGAATGAGATGACCAACAGATATGTGCTGAAGTTTTAGTGAAGGAGGTCAGTTCAGTTCAGTTCAGTCATTCAGTAGTGTCTGACTCTGTGACCCCATGGACTGCAACACCCCATGGCCAGGCCTCCCTGTCCATCACCAACTCCCAGAGCTTATGTCCAAAAACCCATGTCCATTGAGTCCATGATGCCATCCAACCATCTCATCCTCTGTTGTCCCCTTCTCCTCCTGTCTTCAATCTTTCCTAGTATCAGGGTCTTTTCCAATGAGTCAGTTCTTTCAACCAGTACTGATCCCAAAGTATTGGAGTTTCAGCTTCAGCATCAGTCTTTCCAATGAATATTTAGGATTGATTTCCTTTAGGATGTACTGGTGGGATCTCCTTGCTGTCCAAGGGACTCTCAAGAGTTTTCTCCAGCACCACAGTTCAAAAGCATCAATTCTTCAGTGCTCAGCTTTCTTTATAGTCCAACTCCCACATCCATACATGACCACTGGAAAAACCATAGCTTTGACTAGATGGACCTTTATTGGCAAAGTAATGTCTCTGCTTTTTAATATGCTGTCTAAGTTGGTCATAGCTTTTCTTCCAAGGAGCAAGTATCTTTTAATTTCATGGCTGCAGTCACCATCTGCAGTGATTTTGGAGCCCCCAAAAATAAAATCTCTCACTGTTTCCCCATCTATTTGCCATGAAGTGATGGGACCAGATGCTATTATCTTCCATTTCTGAATGTTGAGTTTTAAGTCAACTTTTTCACTCCCCTCTTTCACTTTCATCAAGAAGCTCCTTAGTCCCTCTTTGCTTTCTGCCATAGGGGTGGTGTCACCTGCATATCTGAGGTTATTGATATTTCTCTCAGCAATCTTGATTCCAGCCTGTGCTTCATCCAGCCCAATATTTTGCATGATGTATTCTGCATGTAAGTTAAATAAGCAGGGTGACAATATACAGCCTTGATGTACCCCTTTTCAAATTTGGAAGCAGTCTGTTGTTCCATGTCCATTCTAACTATTGCTTCTTGACTTGCATACAAATTTCTCAGGAGGCTGGTAAGATGGTCAGTATTCCCATCACTTTAAGAATTTTCCACAGTTTGTTGTGATCCACAAAGCCAAAGG